ATGATATATTTATATATAGACATAATAAAGTAGAAACGAAACATAAACTCACGATTTCACGATCATTATATTGATAGTACCGATATAATGGGTAAATTCTTGTTATTGGTATTAGCTGGTGCTTTAATAATTGCAGGTAAAAGATTCGAACGTTGTCGCTTTAGAGTGAAATAATTTTCGGTTTTATAATGTTTCAGAAGCTCTTACTAAATCTGCTCCATCAAAGAAAGATGATGTGTGTCCAAATCCAGTGAATTGTTTTGCAGATGCATGTCATGTAAGGATTCCATCTTTTTTTCCGATTCCAAACGACATTAGTCATTTTAATTCTTCTTTAGACTGTTTCATGTCCTCCAGAAGCAACCTGCATGTAAGTGTAAAGACCATAAAAATTGTTTGATTTATAATTACTCTGTTTTTTGTTACAGTGCTGATTATTGCCATGGTGGATGTGATTGTATTTGTACTAATAAAAACGGCAAAGTATTTCCATGTGAGTACATAAAAAAGTAATCATATCAGTAGTGCATTTTTTTTCCTCTTTTCTTTAGNAACACCATATTCATCTGACCCTTGTGAAAACCAGCCTCGGTTACCCGAACTGAGTTTAGGCCGTAAAAGATTCGTACTATTTTTGTTAAAGAACCATGTGAGTACATAAAAAAGTAATCATATCAGTAGTGCATTTTTTTCCTCTTTTCTTTAGGCCCTATTAAAGAGAAGTAAACTATTGCATTCGATTGCTAGAGATGTTTGCAACATTGTAACTCACAAACTTAAATGATAATTTGTGGAATGTACTTTCTTCTAAATAACAAAGTTTCTTTTCACGTTGAACAATGTATTTGTAATTTTTGGATATTAAAATAAATGCAAATGTTTCTGAATATTAATAGAATGACTAAAATAATGAGAATTTGTTTAAGATACACGTAATTCAAACTAACAGTTAAATATATTTTCGAACGTATCATACACTGTTGGATAGAGGACTTCAAGGCGGTGAAGAATATATGTGTCTTGATTTGTTCATTAGGTTTTTTTTAAGGGTTTGAAATTTTTCACCCTAAAAAATTTCCCGGAACGTCAAAAGACACATATTCGGATGCAGCTCGTCATATCGAACCATGTATCAAAATCGAAAAAAGAAAAAGCGATGGAATCCTGAATTTCCGTCACCTTACACCATATCATCATTATCAAATAAAGCTTATAACAACGAGCGATCTTACACTGAATACGGCTGAGGGTAAGCGACCATCCATCAGCGGGCTGTTCTCTGCTTTCTTCCATCATTATCAATAGATATGAATGGACATCGATCACCGACACTTCGAACATTTGTCGGTTGAACGAATGCGTCGAGATGTGGATGTACACTAACGACTCTCTACTTTCCATGCGAATAGATAGAAAACTGAAATTTAAGGAGATTAATGCAACGCCAGAAGTTGGTTAAATTAATAGATGAGTGAAAACAACGCTGTTGTGCATAGTTCAGAAAAATTAAAAGTCAGATCGGATTA